CCAGCGCATCCCGCCGTCGATCGATCTCCTCTGTATCTGTCCTGGTTGAATCCCGCCACTTATCTGAGTAGTCTGAGAACCGGTGCCGGCGCCAGAATTCACTTTCAGTAGCACGGTGTTTGGCAAACGGACCTGAGTGGACGACGGTGACGTCGCCGACGGAAATGACGACGACGGGGAAGACGACTGCGAGATCATAGTAGACCCAGCTTGATTCTGCTTGCCCTGCAGGAGACTAATAACACGCGTTTGCGCTTTACTATTTTGTCGGTTGATCGCTATCTGACGCTGCACCTCACGAATGATCCTCTGCTGCTCCTGCACTCGCCTAAGACGTTCCATCTCCTGCCTCTGAGCGGACAACGTGGCTTCGTCCAGTTGCGTTTCATCCATCACTTCCCGAATGTTCCTCCGCATGTTGGCCAGCTTTTTCTCCGACTTCAACTCACATTCCGACGTGCTACCCTCGGTGCTACCGTCATCCTTCTTCACTTTTTTTTTCGCGCTGTCGGAATGATCAGAATCGGCATGTCTCTTGTTACTGTCAATGCCTTCCTCTCCCGATTGTCCATCCGTCTTATCGTTATCATTATCTATGCTTTCCTCATCTGAATCCTTTGTTATTGGCTTTCCTAGTAGATCAGCTTCAGATACTTCTTGACCCTCTATAGGTGCTCCTTTTCATAATACAAGAATAAGAAATATTAAAATACAATAATAATATAATGATAAAAATCATTTTAACATTTCAACTAAATAATTTTTTATAATGACACGTATTGTTACATGATTTAATATTTAAAGATTATGATAGATACAATAACTAATATTTATTTCTCTATATTATAATACATATTCTAAACTGCAGAATGTTTTCAAAACAGTGAATTTCCATATTTTTAATTCTATATTTACAATCCATTATTAGCCCAACTAATTTAATTATATAAAATAATTATTGAATTAATAAAATTTAGAATATAAGATTAGAAATATAAAATTAGATTAAATTAAAATAGAATTCCATTTTATTGATCCAGTAATCTTAAATATTTATTATATTAATCTAATTAAATTAAATTATTAGATAAAATTAATTTAAATAAAAATGATTTAACAGAAAATTTTATTAATGCATCTTAATTTAAAATTTAATTCACTAAATCAAAATAAATGTTGAATACGTGCTATTAGGACATTCTTACAAACCTTCTAGTGGTAAAGTATCCAGAATATTAACTTGTTCTTCATCATCTTCATCTGGAGACTGATGATGTGATTGCCCCTCCGATTCCACTCTGACACCAATCTGCGAGTCAATCGTTTCATCCAGATCCATATCGTCCCCCGAACCCTCCGAGCGTATCTCTTCTATTTCCTCGGATTGCAAAACGTCGAGTTTCTTCTCTTGCTCGCCGTCCGTTGTTTCACCACTCGACTCATCTGAACTCTCATCATTAGTTGCCTGTGGCTCAGCGTTCATGTTTGCACTTGTCGCAGTCTCACTGGTCATCATATTCGTTTCACTAGGCTTGGGGCCACCGCGTGGAGTCACACGTTCAATTGTGACATCCCCTATGCGCGTGAGAAAGCTGTCCAGACTATTAGACATGGTGCACTGTACATGAAGTCACAACGTGTACTTTATTGATATGGAATGTCTTACACGTTTAAACACAATACTAATCATCTATTAGCTTAACACTCACATCGTTTAATTGTCATTCAAAATGCCTTTCCTTTCCTGTAACGACACACACATATACATTCTTGGTATGTTACTTTATTTAACATATGTGCTTAGAAACTGTTACATGTTGATAAAGAGATAAGATATGAAAACAGTAAAGTTTCCTTATAGACAAACATTAAAAATATGTCAATACTAACCATACTCTAAAAAGTTTTAACTTTTTGTAATACAACTATATACTGGATTAATATAATAAACTTAATAAAATAAATGCTTTTAATAAACTGACAAAGAGCTGGCATATTTGACAGCTCTTTTTTCAGTTAATATTTTCTTATAAATAGAACATTAAAAGTTCTGTTCTTTTTCAAAAAAAGTTCTGAACTGGAATATACTGGTGTAGTGAATTGGAGTGAAACAAATTATATTTAAACAATTATAATTTAGACCACTAAGAATACATTAAAAAAAAACATTCCTATTTTCAGTTAAAATGAATTTTGATACTATTTATATACAAATCTTTATAAGATGAATGAATGATTTGAAAAATGTATTTGTAAACGATAATTGTATCTGCATGTAAATATTATCAAGTGTGTATTAAGATTCACTTTGATTGAAATAAGAATCTTATTCTTACTTAAACTATATTTTACTTCAACTTATTGCTCCACTTTAGAACTTTCTTTAAAAAAGAACAAACCTAAAATAGCTTAAATTTTCTCAACTTTTCTTATATAAAACAAAATATTTAATGATATGCAGCATGGTAAATCTATTTACTTAATCTTTGAAAAAATGCTTCACTTAGCATGTGACATCAGAAATCTTTCACTATAAAATCAAGCTTTCTAATCTCTTGGAATATTTTAACACATGGTGATGCTTATTTTAACCTTTAGTACACACGATTGAGTCATTCATATCCTGCGCATTCCTTTTTTTTTTGGAAAAACGCTAGAAGCCTCAAATAATCAGTTACAAGATTTATATACAATTTTTTTTCTAAATACACAAGCTCGTAAATACTTTCTAAAGATATTAAAATATACGTATGTAAGAATCATTTAATAATTCTTGTATATTTATTAATGTTATGAAAATTAACTAACCTGAGACACAAATAATCCATCGTATGTACTAAAATACCTGTAATGAAGAATTGGAAAATCATTGTATATATTAAAGTTAAAAATTAGATATATAGTACCTCCTAAATATCATCAAGAGTTACGGCATCTCCATCGAATCTACCTAAAACGCCAAAAGAGAGAGAACGCAAAAGATTTGCCAAAAGTAATTCTCGTATGAGTCCTTCTTGGTGTCGATTTGTTTGGAGTAACACAGTGCGGGATAGGTAAGTTTCTATCCGACAATCTCGCAGCTCACCGACGAGGACCGATCTTGATCACATTGTCTGCCGAGTAGGCTCAGCCTCGAACACAGGACATCGTACACGTGAGTTGAACAATCCGAACACGTGTTCAAAACTATGACGATCGGTAACAACGGTGGCAGTCAAACGTGAAGCACCGGTGCGGAAGAGGAAGCTGCGAGGATGGGAGATAAGAGGCGATAGGCCAGAACGTTTGTTTATGACGTTTACACGGCGGGTCTAACTACACTTCCGCGGCGTGCCCTATCCACCGTTTCGTTGTAGACGCGTCCTGAGTTCTCCCTCCCTCGCTCTCTCTCTCTCTCTCTCTCTCTTTCTTTCCTCCCTCTTCCCCTTCTTCGTTTTCACAGATCAGCCGCCTGATCGGCGATCACGCGCGCACGACGGACGCCATGGTCGGTCGTCGCATTCTCGCTGTTTTCATGTTCCTGTAACGGAGCGATGTGACCCTGCGTTACCGTCTCTCACGTCCAACGAGCTCGACCCCACGGCCGGGTCGCTTCCATGCCAGCGGCGACGGTCGAGGAAGAGTCCGTCCCCGTCCGCGCCGCGCTGAGCCGAGGCGAGCCGAATGACGAATCCACACCGCGCCGCGCTTTACGTCACTTCGTCGCCACGCCGCTCCGCTCCGCGCCGCGCTGCTATTTCCCCGCGCGCACCGCACTCTTAAGGTTAACGTCGAATAAACTCCGGTGCGGCCACGCGCACGCACTTCCGAGCGCACGCACTCACCGTCGGCCGGTCCTCGCACCTCACGCGAGCACCCCGCGCGAAGCGTCGGTGGTCGTCGCGGCACCCCGCGGCATTCCTTTTTTCTTTCACGCGCTCCTACCCGACGGCTTACTCCGCTCGGCGAACGCCATCTTGGCTGCTGCACCACCGTTGTTGCACCGCCACTCGCTACTCGGCCACTCCAATTGCCGCCGCCGCCACCGAACGAGCGAGCCGCGCACGTTCTGACATCACTGCGCCAACATTCGCAAGAATATCGGAGGCGTCGGAGATCGACTGGCTGCGTACTTTCGAGAATAAGCCGTTCAACCGACACACGCACTATAAACTTCTCTCAAGCAATACAATGATATACGATCGGAGTAGAAATTTAATCTAACGTTGATTCATGGGAACGGTTCTAGAATTTGTACTGTTTACTTTGTACCTCGAGATAAGAACGTTCCTCGAAGGGCTAATGGAAATTTGTATCGTTAAAAGATATAGCTTTTTCGATAAGACGAAGGGGGATGGAAACGGTTACGACCACTTATATGGAATTACAAAGACATTGATAACATGGAATTTTTCATTCAGTTCAATTCTGCAATTTCTCATTCGATGGTCTTCTGTTTATTCAAGGTCGCATATATTTGCAATGTTCGATTTTAATTAAATGTCTGGTTGAAGTTCTTTTGTTTGGAATGTTTACCTGCCATATATCTTCTTGCTGAGCTATCAAAAGAATCATTTTGTTTTGGAACAAGTGTACAATAATTTGCTTTTCATATAATACTATTTTTTATATAAGTTTAAATATTAAAAATTCAATAATTCGTAATTTACAATCACAATTCGCGATTGTCAATGTTACGAAATCTTATGTTGTTATGTAACACAAATTAAGGTTTTTTTTTTTTAAATTAAATATACAGAATTATAAA